TATTAGGTTTGCTATAGGTCAGGTGTAGCCTCATAGGACACAACATAACAAACAGTAGCTAGAGGGAAGGGGGCCGAGGCCCCTATATTCCTCCTTGATTTGGAAAAAAAATTTTTTCCCTGCCTTGCTTACTGTAAGGAGTTGAGAGAATTTCAGAATCTGGCAGGTAATGGCAGAGTTAACAAAAGAGACACAAGAGAAGGAATACAAATAAAATCACCTCCAAAAGCACCAGTAGATATTACAGGAGCATAACGGTGATGTCACACATTTGCCAGCAAAACCGGGAAGGAGGGGCAGACTTTCAATTGTATTTTCTTCAAAACTCAAAAGAAACACAGGTATTTACTCCATGAGCCAAATCCATAATCAGGGTTGGAATATACCTTTTTTTGGATCACTGGAGCACCTGACAAGAGATGTTTCCATGTCCCTCCCAAGGCATCTGGTACCTATCGCCTAAATTTTTTTTTGGGTGGGGGGGGGCCAGTCAATTACAGTGTAGCAGTGAATGTCAGATCAAGTAACATTAACAGCACCACTTACTGAAGAGATGAATACAGCATAGGAGGAGGTTAGACCATTGATGTTATCTGGCCAGTAGGATTTAGAACAGGAAGAAGAAGAAAATTATTAGCAAATTGCCTAAGAACTTGGCTTGGACCAAACTTCAAAAGCCTGGTGGCCTACATATAGAGGAGAAGGGATGTGGTGCGTTCCACCCTTCCAGTTACAGATTAACCTTTCCTGTGCAATAGACAAGATAAACTGCAAAGTCCCTATTTTAGAAAGTCAAGATTTGGAAGGAAGGACCTTGGTGGGAGACTCCGAGGGGTCTTTCACCCCCACAGCCACCCCCCACCCTGCACCCCCCCAAGATGGAGGAAGAAAAGTGTCAAGGAGACTTCAGAACTTACAAAGGTAAAGATTTTCTTCTCATTCTTAGCTATTGGATCTGCGACCAAACATCCTCATTTAAGCTTTTCTTTTCCCCCACACATGCACAAACACACCCTACCTCTCTAAGTGTAGGTTTTAAATTTGAGGAAGCATAGTAGAGCCATGTATTAAAAGCACAGGGTTCATCCCCAGGTCAATAAGGAAAGGAAACCTTTTTTTTCAACCCAAGGACCAAATTCTGTTTTAGAGAAGTTCATAAGTGCCTCCTTTCAGTGGTGAGCCCCCCACCCCACAAAGGGGAAGAAATATGAGAGGAAAAATACCAGCACCTTGATTTAAAGCTCCTGCTACCAACTGGTAAGCTTTAAGATATGCCCTTCCGCTTAAGAGTGCACAAAAGCTGGGAAGCCACCAGACAACATGGTGGTGATGGGGACATTGCCATTTACAGCGTCCAAGGCAGGCCAGATTTGGCCCCAGTGTGTGTGAATTCCTACTCTTGGGCTAGTCTAATATTTACCACATCCTCTTTTACAAAGGGCTGTCCTCTGTTTGAAGGGTTGTTCAGGGCACGTCCACGAAAAATAGGAAATAAGAAGAAGGGAGAGCAGGGGCTTTGGAACTCCCCAGCAGCACTTCATGCCTGGCTAGCAGAATGACCAGTCACAGAGTCACCAGGCCAGAGTCTTCTCCACTGTATTGGGATGCATGGCATCACTGTTTAAGTCACCACAACCCGTCCGAAAATGGCACTCTGCACGTGCACATCGCACCTCCATTTGCAGTTCTCCTTGGCAATGTGTGAGCAACTCCTCTGCTCCCCACCTAATCAGGTCTGCAAGAATTAGGCTACAACTGTGCCCCAAGCATGAAGAAACCTCTATCCAGATTGGGTGCCTCAGGAAAGGCAACCATAACAACCTACAAGGCAAGTTCACTGAGCCAGTCCCATCCACAACTCACAACTACAGCACGGCACTGCATAACAATAAGTGGCCTGGCTAATCTCTGCTTCCCTTAAAGCATGTCGTGCACCCTGCAGGAATAAGAAATACTTGAGTGATTTCTTATGGTGCAGGTTTCTGCTGCTGTTGTTCTATTTAGCACTGCTATCACTCTTTTCCTTTTCCTTTTTAAAGAACGAAATTGGCACTCGTACACTCGGAGTCCTGCCTTCCATGTCTATGTACTGCTGGCTATCTCATTATTGCTGAGTACTGTTTTCTTGATTGTGGCTGTTTCCAAAGGTACAGTAGTTCCTTTTAATTTTTATTTTTATTTTCCTGTGTATGGTCCAAAATATTTCATTTATAAAGGAAGAAATTTCTTGGCTTTAATTCTGAGCACAGAGAAGGGCAATGTATACTTTTGTTAACTATTTTTTTAAAAGAAAAAAATGTTGATAAACTGGTTTATTTCTATTAAAGATTTTCTATACTGCTTTTCTGGCGAAATATCACCAAGGTGGCTGAGAATGTCACAATCCGTTCAGGATGACACAAAAGCTGGAACAGAATTTGTGTCTGTTAATGAAAAGTGGCACCAAAGGTTCCTTTCAAAGCATCATTGATGCATTAGCATCAATTAAAAAGAAATGGGAAACTGTCTTTTCCTTCCCCTACACAGGAAAGAGGGAAGGAAGCTTTCCATTTCTCAGACCATTAAGTGGTTTAAACAGAGGGACAGCTTAAACTATCCACTTCAGTTCCATCCCAGCAGTCACGCAGGATGGAACCAAAATAAAATGGAGTTATCCTACCTGCAGAACAAAACAGGACAGAAGAAGCAGCCCCTGACAGGGACCCAAACAGGTGCGAATAGGTATTAATCAAGGATGACCTGGTTCACTATGGCATGTATGTTGTGGGGTTGCCAGGAAAAGGAGTGAACCAGCCCATCCCCTGAATAGGTATTAATCAAGGATTACCTGGTTCACTATGGCATGTATTGCCAGGAAAAGGAGTGAACCAGCCCACCCCCCAAACCCGACCAAACCACAGGACAAGTGCATGTCTGGTTCTACCCTCTGCTCCATCTGCCGTGACATAATTTGGGGTTACTATGGAGTTGATGGTGGATTCCACATAATCAGGTTGAGAATAATGCAAGTTGAGAATAATGCAGTCCCCAGTCAATTGATTAACAGAGGGTAATATAAACAGCAACTGTACGTGCATACGCAGCTAGATGTTTGGTCATCTCTTGTCAAAGTTTACACCTAAGTTCCCAGACACCGAAACCTTTCCTTTCCTTTCCTTTTTTCTTTATTAAACTTTTATAAATATTTTTCTGTTACTCTCTTTATTCCCATTTGGTGATTTATCCATAGTTCTTTATTTTGCATCTCTTCTTCTTCTTCTTCTTCTTCTTCTTCTTCTTCTTCTTCTTCTTCTTCTTCTTCTTCTTCTTCTTCTTCTTCTTCTTCTTCTATTTGCATACTTTCATGTTCTTGTCTTCTATGGCTGGAGCACAATTAAAAATGAATGAAAAGATTTCTGGCTACAAGGGAGCTGGAGCAGTACAACACAAGGAAATGCATACTCAGTGAGAACCTTTTTGTCAACTGCACTGAACTTGCGAAATGTTGTCATGTGAAGTAGCAATAATTTAAGTCAGACTTGCATGGGTGTCAGGCATATGCAGCCTCTCAATGTTGTTGGGCAGGAGCTCCCATGGGTTCTGCCAATATCGGCAATGGTATGGAATCGTGGGCCAACAAAACTCAGAAAATGACATGTCCCCCACTCCTTCTCTACACTGATTGGCAACAGCCATGCAGAATCTCAGAAAATGAGTTCCTCCAGGCCATCCCAACCAAGCTCCTACTTAAACAAAGATTGCAGGGATTAGAACTGCCGCCTTCCTTTTGCATGCAAAATGTGTGCCTTCCTTCTGAGCCAAGCTTCCCATCTTGTTTTTCCATCGCATCACTAGATGAACTGAGATGCAGACATATGAGTGGACTTGTCACAGTCAACATCTGGTGGTCCTGCATGATGCCATGCAGTAATGCTTAGCATCTGGCACTTGCATTGTAAATGTTCATGTCTGAGATATTAATTTTGACTGCAAAGTTCTGACATATCTCCCACTGTCACTTCATCTTCCCTCCTTTTCCATTTTCAGCGGTAGCACTTTCCTCGGAATGGGCTGAATTAAATGTTGAGCTTCCAAAGAAAATGGAGGGACATGACTTTGACTGTAAGTCTATGTGTATTCTCTTCAAGAATCACCTTGTATCTCAGGTGCTTAAAATGGAGGGCAGGGAGCTAGGGTGCTCAGATGTGGTGTCAGCAAAGCTGGGGTAAGGTGGGAAGGATGTAAACTGCCACCACTCTATCTTTCTGTTTCATAAGCTTTCATGCTTCTACTGACATCTTAAAACTGAGATTCTGTACTTCTGTTTTTAAGATTGACAAGGCCTCTCTGATTTTCAGTCATTTGACTGATCTTCAAGAAAGAAAGA